TATACCGAAGGACAGGACACAATTCACTTCTCATGCTCTGGCAGTGACTCACATGGCTATGATGCTGATGCTGTCGTCCCGTCTGATGCCACTAGCACCACTGGCACTGATGTGCAATTACGTTTTCATCGCGTGTCCATTTGTTCACATTAGTTGTGTTAGGCCGGTGCCGTTGAGGTCTCAAGCTGTTGTCGTCGTCGTCGTCGTTGCAGAAGCAGCAGCAGCAGCAGCAGCAGGAGGAGGAGGAGGAGGAGTAGTACTAGTAGCAGCACAGCAACAGGAGTAGTAGTCCGTAGCAGTAGCAGTCGGAGTACAGCAGCAGCACTCGTTGAGTCTCTCTTTTACTATGCGCAAATCAAGTATCTGATTCTTCGTGTATGTTCAAAACAGCCATTGCTATGGTTGCATTTGTTCATCATGCGCCTGGCACCTTTGTAGGCAAGGAGCATAGAAGCCGTCCTGCAGGGAAGGAATCATGCCACAGCTGTGGCAAGTTTAACTCTTCAGCATTTGGTCGGACAGTCAAAGGGTCTACAGTCGCAGGTTGCTTGGGGCAAGAAGGTTCAAAAGAGCACGAGGCCAAGTAAATCATTATGACAGAGCGGATTCCTAGTCCGAAGGAGGTGGGGAGCTTGGTACATGGGGATGCTGAAGCAAGGACCCTAGCGAGAAGCCTGTCTCGAACCCGTTGATCAGGAATGCAACTAGCACTGCCTCAAAACATGAAAAAATCCTTGGGCGCACACGTGTCAAGAAATCCCCAATGACTCCAAAGAGAAGCCCCGGCGGTCCACCACGATGCCACCCACCGGCATGGGCACAGTGCCAAGCGACTGCGGGCTGTAGCCTGTCAAGGAGTCGGCATGAAGGCCACAATTTCTCGCTTGGAAACTGCCCGCAAGCCCGTGGTGCATCCAATAACTTAGACTGATACTTTGGTGAGTGTGATGCTGTACATAGGTTTGTGAACCTCAGGCTGACAATACTAGCTACTCACGACGCACGTATCTTACACCTGAATCCTCCAAACCGAACAACGAGGCCCGCTTCCCTGATGCCAGTGATAGTGATCATCATCAGCATCAACATCATCGGCACCATCATGCTCATGGACATGATGATGGTCGTGATCATGATCCTGATGACGATGGTGTTGAAGGTGATGAAGATGAAGAAGAAGCAGATCATGATGATGATGATGATGATGATGATGACCGTCATTACCATGGACATCACGGCCTCTTTATATGACGCTCAGCATCAGAACCCAAGCCTGAACGGCTACACACGACCTGAAGCAAGAGGCGATCTCAAACCCTTCGAAAACTTTGAGTGAAGTGATGTAAGGTAAGGCCAGGCAGGGTGAGGTAAGTGTAAGGCAAGCCCGGTTAAGCTACATCTAAGTATGTAGGTATGCGAGTAAGTATGTATGTATGCATGCATGGATGTATGTGCGTATGTGTGTGTGCGCTGTGTATGCAGGTATGTATGCATGCATATATGCATGTATGCGGTTATGTCTCAATGTCGCTGTTGAACCAAACGCCAACGCGGACGCGGATGGGAGGTTCGGACATATGGAACCCTGACTACAGTTGCATAATAGATACTGTGACCCACATCGACTGGAACTGTTTAGGGCCGCAAATGCTCCACCAAGTTGCGGAGATACTCAGCAAGCTTGATTTTGGTGTCCATTGTCTGCCGACAGCATTTCAGGGAGTATTGCTTGGCGGCTGAAGGACGTGCATAAAATGGGTCTGTTGTTGCCACTCTTTTCCCCACTCTAGGCTCACCGTGAGGGCTTAGGAATAGGAATAGCCATCGAAGCACGGTGCAAGTGCAGTAGGAGCTGTCAGGATGAAGCGAATCCTCGCGGAGAATGCAAAGCTGCTTTCAACACAACACGATCCCTTGACCCTGCTGCAGCTGTGCGAGGGTTTGCAGAGCTTGGGTTTCGGGTTTAGGGGTTCAAGGTTTAGGGGCTGGGAGGTCTTGTGGCTGGCGGTGGTGCGCTCAGTGTTGAAAGACGCTGGTTTGGAGAGTCCAAAGTCACAGGAAACTTTGAAGGGTTGGGGCTTGGCCTGTGGACCCTGGCTCTCGATTAGGGGCACCTTATTATGTATATCCAGGGCTTATGACTGTGCTTATATCCCCCTTTCATGAAGCCATAACAAAGCGCTAAGGTGAAGGCTGTTGGCCATCGAGAAACTAAAACAGGCAAGCCTCAGCAACTTGTTATTCACTCCTCTGCTATAGTCCTTTATGATGCTACGCATTAACACTAACCCTAAATCGTTGAACCATAAGTGATCCTCCAACCTGGGTGCCAAAGAAAGTTTTGGGTTCCAGCAGGGTCCTTGGCTTGGGCTGCAAAAGCCTCCCTCGAGCCCTAAATCCTAAGCACCGACAGCCGCAGAACTCGTATGGAACCCGGCTACATCACTGATAGATTAGGAGGAGGAGTAGTAGTAGTTGTAGTAGTTGTTGTTGTTCTTGTCGTAGTAGTAGTAATAATAATAGTAGTAGTAGCAGTAGTGGTAGATCCCCTAAAGAGCTTGGGGCTTCGGTTCTGGTTTCCCCGTTTCATGCCGGCGCCTCGTTGCCAGCAATGTGGTCCATGCCACTGGCTGTGAGAAGTGCAGGAGCTGACTCCTCCAGGGGTGTAGAGTCAAGGGCTTGAGAAGTTGAGGGCTCAAGGAGTTTAGGGTTTGCGGTTTGGGGCTTCAGGCCCAAAGATCCTCTATAGAACATGTAAGCCCAAGGCTCACGGATGACCATCAAACCCTAAACCTGAAAAAATAGTATAATAGACTCATGAGTCCCCAGACCCGCATCTGAAAATGGAAGAACTTATCGAAATTCCACAGAATTTTCTAAGAAGCCTCGAACCCTGCTTAAAAACATACGAGAGCCCAAACAATACTTACTTGAACAAGAGGATGGGCATCGACCTTTCCTCGGTGACATCTGCCCCGGGCCAGCCGATGGCGTACCGGTCGACCAGCAGCTGCAAAGACATGAAGCCTGGGGTTTGGCAGGTTTGCAGAACGAGCTTGAAAATCCATTTAGGCTTTAAGTTCCTTCTGTCGTTTGCGTTTAAGACCTAAGCTTCTTCAAGGTTTAGGCTTTCGGCTTGCGGAGTTCAGTGCTTCGCACGCAGGCGATGAAAAGGCAAGACGTGAACAAACATAGACAGCTCCAGCCCCAGACCCGAAAAACCTCACCCCAGACAACCGTACAACTTGACTTGAAAACCTTGCGTCCCGAATCCGAAAAAAGAGTCCACGTTCTGTCCTTCCTATCTGCGCGAAGCTGCAAAACGTATCGGACCCAATACAACACGGTCTGGTGGTCAAGTGCGAAGTGCTACGGTGCGAAATTCAGGTTCTAGGCTTGACGGTTGCAGGCGTTGAGGCCATGACCCAATGGCGAAGGAACTCCAGATGTTGCACAAGAGCGTCTTGAGAACTGCCCGGGGTACTTCACTGTCACATGCAGCAAAGAATATCCACTGTAGAATATGGCCCTAGTGGTCGTGCACGGACCTGGGAATCGGCGTGATGCAAGTTCAGCGCCGTGCTTCTGCTCACTGCAGTCACGGTGCCCCTCCGGAGATAGACCAAGGCCTGTTCAGCCATCATTCGTGCACTTGCAGATCCGACATGCTGGCAGCACCAGCTAGGAGCTTGGCGTATATCGCATTTCGCTTTCCTTGCTGAGAATCCTCATTTGTAGGCATGTGCTGTCTGAAACAATCCGGAAATGCCGAAACTCCTAAATCCCGCAACCCTTAAATCCTACCAGAAACCGCCTCCCATCCCTGACCCCTGAGACACCTAAACCCTGAACCCCCAAATCCCTAAACCCAACACCCCCAAACCCTACACCCTCACTCCCGAAACTCTCGAGGTCCTAAAGCTCTCCGCCAACCAATCCCGAATACAACCCTTATTGCCTCACTACACATCACAAAACCCACCGAAACGCTCGTGCAAGTCATGTACGACCACTCCCAAACCCGACAGCCCAGGAAAAACTCGTCCTCGTTGGTCTTCAACCCCAAGTCCAGAGGTCTGGTGGACGGGACTCGCGTGTAGATTTGGGTGCCTTCAAGACTTCATGGTAGGTCTTTGTTGTCATGCATAACACGTAAAGCGTAGGTCCCTCGGAGCTCCGTTTCACAAATGCGTGAAGCATTGTCTAACTTTTCGCCCAGGAATGCCTTGTTTAGGGGTCGTCACATTCGCGATCCTGCTGCTCAGGTTCCCTAGTTCATGAGACTCGGATATCTCGTTTGGGAGTGTCAGGCCAATAGGACCAACAGCTGTGATTGGCACATGCCGTCGCCTGCCGACACGTTCAGGCGAATGCTGTAGTCCTCAGACGGGAATTTCGGAAGTGGAAGGTTGCTTGATGCGAAGACAAAGACGTGTGATTGGTTCGGGTCGTCCTGTCTACCCTACGATAGCCAAGAATGAAAGATATCTAAAATTCGTGGCCGGATTACACCCCAAGTTGTTTTTTCAAGTTTCTGGCACCAAGATACGTCCAGATCTTGGGTATTTTCTTTGTATGCATCTTTCGCTACATGCCTCATGCTCTCCTCAAACATATTCACAACCACCATCAGCAGCACTACCACCACTGCCGTCATCGCCATCACCATCATTGCCATCATCATCATCATCACCATCATCATCATCTACAGCATCATCGTCTTCTTCGTCTTCATCACCGTCAGCAGCAGCAACAGCAGCTGTAGCAAGCATCGCCGCGGTCACCTTCCTGTTTTCAGCATAATGTTCGTCTTCCTCATCGGCACAGCTATCCTTCACGGTGTCGATTGTGATCGTGATGGTAATGGTGGAGACGAGGCGACGGCTCAGGACGGAGACGAAGAAGACGATGATCATGACAAACCATAGATAATGTTTCGAAGAGGGTTTGGTGCTATATTATGCTGCACTCGAACTTCAATAAGGAACCCCCCCAAAACCCTATTCTAATTTTTCAGGCCCCCTACCATTATGCCAAGGCCCTCTGCCTCCATGGCAAGATCCAAACACAAGCAACTCTGCCGCCCAGGGGTCCCACTTGCCCGTGGCGCCCATTCCGCCGTCCCCACCGACGGAATTGAAAAGCAGAGCGCCGAAGAGCCGCGGGGCGCTGGGAGAGCCATAGTTCTCCTGCTCTCAGATCGGCTACACCACGGTTTATGGTTTAGGGTGCGGCTACACCTCTGATTAGGATATGGCTTCGATTATTCAGGATTTTCAGGAAGCTTCCCAGAAAGACCGGTACAGGAAGGTGATTGATTAAGCAGGGGTCTACACTAGGCATGAAGGTTGGGGGCTTGCAGGCTTGAGGTTATACAGGGTTCAGTTACGATCGTTGCGAGCACAATCAGAGTGGTTTCCCATAGCATTTCTTGTCGGGCCCTTTCGACGTGAAGGTTCGGCATTAGGGCACCCTTATTCCCTTTTCTTCGCTAGAGGCATCACCGCCCCAGCTTGCCTCCCCTGGTTTTGGGATCTCGGTTGAGGGAGTTGATGAGTAGCCAGCCTGGTCCAAGTACTTCTCCAACTCGGCGCCAGTGAAGATCCGAGGATGAGTGAGGTTGGCGAAGCCCGGGAGCACCCCAGGGTTCCTTGCGGGTGTGTGTGTTTAAGATGCTTCTTTGGAAGGCGTTCGGGGTGCTATCTGTTTGTTTACAAAGGGTTGCCCGGCTTGAGGCTTCGTTGGTTCATAAATCGAATCGACACGAAAGGGTTCAGGGTACGGAGGACTCCTTGCGTGGGTGGTTGGGTCTTGCCAGCAGCTACGACGACAACGATCTTGAAGGCTCGTTTGTGCCCACAGGCTGAAGGAACCACCAGAGGCTTCTTTCAGACCTACGACTAGTATGGCACTACTTCATAAGGTGATCACAATGCCACGGGCAAGGCCAGCGAGAACACCAATCACAAGGGCAATCATCACGACACGAACATTGACAAGACGATCGTGATGATAGTAATGGTGCCGAGAAAGGGGAGCTATTTCCTCAGTGATATACATATCAGCACGGTGACAACGACGATGTAGTATTCGAAGTGCTAGTAAACTGCAAGGACGGCTTTTGCTGATGCGACTGCTCACACAAAGAGTTGCTGATAAAGGCCCGAGGAGCGTCTTGTGTTTGAGACCTCGGCACGGCTTGGGTCAGCCCAGGAAACTGTGAAAGCGCAGATCGGGGTGTGGGGCTCAGGCCGGTGTTTGTGGGAATCATAGCATCAACATTCTGCCAGCTCTGGTTGAGCAACAGTTGAGGAGGCGTTGGTGGCCCCTCGAAGTTCAGCAAATATTTGAACAGGGTGGTCGAGTGAGTCCCGCTTCAGGTGCTGAAGTAGCAAAGTGGGCAGTTCCAATAGCAGCAACGGCGGCTACAGCAACAGCGTCAACAGCGACTGCGACAGCAATAGAAGGAGATGAGACGTAGGTACATCTTCAACCCACGACATACGCCTTCCGGCCCAAACCACCTTGGAGGCATTGCAGGAGGTGTTACTATTCAGAGTCTCCTTTGATGGGAATAGGGACTTTAAGCTCTAATTAGGATGCTAGGATTTTCTACAATTCGGATTTTCATGCCTCAGCTAAAACCACCCCCGACGCTTGAAAGGGCATTTCTGGCGCAGGGTCACGGCCAAGTGGCACGGCAAGCTTGAATTTGCCTCGGCAGGGAAAGCAACGGGTCGGCAAGCGCCGAAACCTGTTCCGAACCCGAAACACTTGGGCTATGATGGGGCCTCCTCTCTTGCTCTGAAACTCCCAAACGAGAGGCTGAGGCGACTCCTATAGTCAATCGTGGTACTGGTGAAAACGGAGCAGCAGCCCCAATAGTGGCTACAGAAGGATCAGTACTACCACTACCACATATCGTCCACCGCAGCCTGCCGTTCCCAGGACTATCACTACCACCACCACCACCACCACCACCACCAGCGCAAGAACAACTACTAACGGGAGTTGGAACAAATAGCATGTTAACGACTAGGTGGAGGAAAGGGATTGCTCACTGCCCACTCACTCAAGTACACACCCGCGTGCGCACGCACACATTGCAGCAACGAACAAGACAGTCAACAACCTTGAAGCCTTGCCGCCCCTGAAACCGTAAATCCAAATGCCACGGCCTGATGCTGACCACTACATCCGCGGTAATCCTTGACTCGACGGTTCTCCTTGAAGCCTAGACCCGCAAACCTAAACCCTGAAACTTAAACCCTAAACCCCAAAATGGATCAAAGAGGCGGTTTTCTGCTTCATCAATTTTTCCAGCCCGCGGAGGAGATCTTTTTCCAGAGGGATGCAGGGAATGTTCCTTTCAGGGATAGCGGTTTGAGCCTCAAGCTTTAGAGTCTTGTGTCGTAGACTCCAGGTTTGGCTGTTTTGAGGCCGGGCTTGCAGTTAATATAGGGGCCTTAATAATTAGAGTAGGGTGTGGGGCCCATTATAGTAAAGTTGTAAAAAGAACCCCCAAAATAGTATTGGTACTTATTTAGGCCTCTCTATTAGGTGTAGAGTCTGGGTTTTGGGCTTCCAACAAGACAGTGGACTTCGGGGGCGAGAAGTTCAGGGACTCCAGGGTTTGGGAACCCTTGCAAAGGTCACAAATGGGAGTTTCCATAAATAGGGGACCCTTATATAGCACCCTAATCCTTATCAGCCTTATCATAAGGACCCCCAAATAAGGTACCCCTAATTCTCGGAAACTCCCAAATGTCAAGCATCAAGTCTAAAAGACCCTGGCGGCACTAATGCTATAGGACTGGATGCTAGGTGTCGGGGTATACTTTAGTAGCATTACCTGGGATTTTACAGTCTGGTGGTTCAGAATCCTGCAATAGACCATACAGTCCCAACTCTCTAGCTACAGAATTCGTGGCGGCAAGCCACCGAAGACAAGACCACCCAAGGCTGAAAAAAATGCGAAAAGCCTGGAATCTACCGACTGCAACTTTGGAATTGTGATCCTATGTGAAGAGACATCAACCCGAAGTGTCTTGAACACCCCTCAAAATCCTCGCATTCACAGTAGTACATTCACAGTCGTACACTTCCGACTTCCAGCAGATATCTGGCCTCAGCATCCTCCGAAAAACCTTTCGGAAGCACCCCAGCCAAGAGATCAAAAGCAGGTGGTGGCTGGGTGTATTCAAGAAACTATTGGCTTCCGGAAGTGACGGGTGGCAAAGCCAGTAACCCCAAGCCGTCAAGCCTAAGCAGTGTTCAAGTGGTGGCCAAACGCATGCAGAAAGGACCCCTCCATCTTCCGAGGTACTCCATCGACAAGTCACCAAACCATTCTTCTGTGATCGTCTGGCCTTGCGATGCAAACTTGTCGCATAGAGGGGACCTTAAAGAATCAGAAGACCCTGACCCCATAGCCCCGCTGAGTAGAATGTCCAAAATCCAAAACAAGCAGGCGCACGACAGCCCCAGCTTTTCAGGTTTCAAGGCTTTGGGCTTCAACTGGGGTGTAGAACTTGAGGTGTTGCTGGTCTGCTTTGCAGGAAGCCGTGAACTTTAAAGCCTGAACCCTTCAAACCCTAAACCCTAAAACCCTGCACCCTGCCAGTGAACCATCACCCTGAGCCCCAAGACAAACCCCTAAACCCCCCAAACCCCAAAAACTCAGATTTCATAGAACTCCAAGCCCTAAACCCCTAAATCCCAAACCCCTCAACCCTGAACCCCTAAACACCAAAAACTGAGATTTCATAGAACCCTTGGGCCCCCGGCGCATCTTCTCGAGCTTCGGCACATCCGAGGGGTGCTCCGCCGCCAGCGCAAGGCGCCTCAAAAACGAGAAAAGAACCCAAAGGCCTGATAGGAATAATTAGAGAAACAAGAACAATAAGAGCAATAAGAATAATAAGAATAATAAGAACAATAAGAATAATATAACTAATAAGCATAATACGAGTAATGAGAACCATAAGAATAGTAAGAACAAAGTCATAACATGATAATAGTGGCAGTATGTAGTAGCAACAGTGATAAGGAGAAAGCATGACCAGAACAATGATGGTCGTTCTAACAGAAGCAATTCGCATCAGCCCCAGAATGGTTAAAAGTGTCGCTGATCGCATACATGCTGATAGAAAACTACAATGTCTTCAATGGCTTTTCTTCGGGGCTTTAGGGATTCAGGCTATGGTGTGGGGTTTTAGGCATGCAGGATTCAGAGCTTTGGAGTGCAGGGCTTGTCACAAACCGCCAGTAATCAGATTCATGATAGTAGTTGTGTATTGAAAGTAATAATTCCGCGCATGATATCAACTTGACTTTATGCTCTTCTGCAGATGAATAGTTCTACGTGTACTGTGCTCTTCGAAACATTGTTAGAATGCACCCATTAACTTACTTCGCAGTCTCATCTCGGTTGGCCGTAGGTTTTCCTTGTGGGGCCGTCACGGCAGAGTGCTTGGAATCCAGAACTGGCTGCCCCCCCCCCCCCCCCCGAATATCAGGTACTCACTATTGAGAGCTCTCGAGAATGGCTGCGGGGCTTGCATCTTGAGGATGGAAATGCTCTGAGTCTTGGTGAGTCAAGTTTTCAGGACGCGTCTCAAACTCTTCGGGGGAAAAACTTCACGCCCTTCCGGCCTAAGAGCAAGAAGTCAGCGAACTTTGAGACTCCCTTCACCGCAAGCATGCGAAGCTCCCTAAACCCTAAACCATTCCGCAGATTTCTCAAGCCGGAGAGCTCGCCAGTCCAGTGGAGATAAGCGAGGATGCTGACGAGGGGCCTGGTCCCGGCCGTGACGGCGAGGTTTCAGGGATTGGCCTTGGGCCTGGAGAAAATGTGCGGCGAGGGCCAGTAAACTACAAGATCCACAACTAGCCTTGGACTTTAAAGGATCGGCACAATCACAACAGCAGTCGTCATCATCAGCCGCAGCAGCTGCAGCACCATGGCACCAGCAGCCACAATAACAAGACCAAGACTCCCAATTGACTCTTATGTAAGTTGAACATTCCCAGTGGCTGTACTGATCAACTAAACGACAGATTCAACCGAAGGTCGCCCGCGCAAGCTGCCGAAAGACTGCTGTCGAAGTGCCTGAGCCCTGAACCCTACAGCTCTACACCAAGCTCTAAACATCCAAAACCCCTCAACCCCTATATCCTACTCACCCCTAAAAAGCCCGAAGCAACTTCATTTCAAGATGCACAGGCTGCTCGAAGTGCTGGCTCCAGGTGTCACAGGAGGATCGATGCTGAAAGCCGGTGCCATCGGTTCGGAGAAGCAGGCCTGCACAGAGTTAAGACTGCTTCGGGACTAAAAGGTGGCACAGGGGCTGTAAATAGAGACATTTTGCTTGTGTATACTGCACTGTGTTGGTCCCCAAAGTAAGGGCTTTCGGGTGTTGGGCCCTGGCCTTTCTCGCAGGTCCCCAAAACACGGCATCACTGGAAGAACAACGGAGGACCCTCGTTTTGATAGCCCCTCAGAGGGAGATCTTGTTTGGAGCAGTCGGAGGCCTCTACTCCGGCCTCAGGCACTGGGAGTTGGGGCTTCGAGGGCTCGAGGCTCTTCCGCATTCATGCTTGGTGTGTCCAGCTTTGGAGTTGTGGGCTTGGGGCTAGAACGTGTTTAGCTGGCCGGCTTTCTTCGGTCAGCAATCGTGCGGCGGACATGATAGGGTATGGCCTAGTATGCTGGTGCGATTGAAGTGATGCATTTGCCAAACGAGAAATAATATGGGATGGATGTCGATTGAAGTTAGGACGTCAGTGTGACAACATCAAGCAGAGTGCTTGCATAGCAGCATTACGTAAAACCCAAAACCCGAAAACTAAGACATCCGAAATGTGCCCTGCCTTCTTCGCAAATGACGCTGTGATTGTCCTTTGGCATGTGGCCACCCCAGCCCTCCAGGACTGGCAGCTGACATTGGCCGTTGCCTCCCCAGTTTGGGTTTGGGGATGTCTAGGGTTTGTGGAAAAACAGTTCAGGGTCTAGGATCGCATCATGAAAAGAGGCCGGAAAATTGGACTATGGGCTTTGGTGGGTGCTCTAAGGTATACTTATATTGACCACATGAGGGAAGGGTATTGCTGATTATTCAGGCTTCTGTGAGGATCTCCAACAAGGGATACACCCAAGCCTAGAAACTTGCCACCTTGTACAGCTATGTTCCCCGATGAAGTTGACGTTGAGATGCTCCGTGGATGCCATGATGCCCCCATCTTCAAATATTCTGCTGAGGCTTAGGACTGAGGCCTTAATGATTTCACTGGTATTTCGGCGTATAGTATCCTATGATTACGATGAGGAACCCTAAGGACAGTTAGATATGTATATATTATACAGCGTGTATATATGTGTATATATTCATATACATATATATATATATATATATATAAAAACTAATGTGTATAGATGTATGAATATGCATGCACACACACGCACTATAATAGGCAAGCTGCTGGCACACTCAGACTTGGCCCACCAGAGCAAAGCCAAAACCCCCAAAGGCAGCAGCAGCTCGCAACAGGCTGCAAAAGGACACCTGGGCGTTTCAGGAAGTTTCGGATTGGGAGGTTTAGGTTTGAGGCTTTAGGCCTCAGGGCTCATTCGGGCTACCAGCAGAGTCCCAAACCTCATTGTTCAGGAACCATAATGCGACAGTCTACCCTTATGAAGGACATACAGCCCTACCTCAACAAGAAGAAGGCTGCCCGAAATCTGAGCATCCCGAAGACAAGTTACTCTGAGCCGAAACAGGGGGAGGTCCCTGAGTTGGGTCCTGGTATGTTGTGTGAGTGTGTACAGGGTTCGGACGGGCTGTTACGAGGGTCTTCTTCCGGGGTCCGAAATCCGAAAACCAAGGATCCTGCTGTGTAGTGCCATATTAGTGTCCCGAGCTTTGGAATGATCGTGATGATTCAGATTTATCTGCACATTAGGGTTTAACTTTAGGAGGCACAGAAGTGACTCAGTAGTGAGGAAAAAACGAAGAAGGACGTGGAAACAGAAGCCGCAAACGATACGAATCATGACCACACTTGCAAGTGTTTGCCACAACATGCATGAGACCACACCAGACTGACACCAGGACTGATCCCACAATACATTCGGAAACCGACAAGGTACCAGGGGCAGCATTGCGCCGACCATTCCCGACGCTTCAGGAGAAGATTCCTCAACAGCGTTGCTTCGGACCGCTTTTGGGTCTCGGGTTTAAGGTTGAACCCAATTAGGTTGCTCAGCGGTGCCGGAGCAGGGTTGGGTCGGTTGGAGTCGGTTTACCGGGCTTTAGTGGGGCTCCGAAACCCTGAACCCCCAGCGGAGGGTTCAGTGCTCTCCTTCGCACCCTCTCAGCTGGCGGCGGGTGCTAGAAGAAGTGGTCAACTAGTGAAACTTTTCCAGGTTTGAACGAGATGTCTCAGCGTATGAAGGTTTCAGAATGCCACAAGGGCTTGCATAAGTGTTGGGTTGGGGGCTTTCATCAGGACACCTTTTCGACTCGAGGCTTGATGCTCTGAAGTTTGGGGGGTGGAGGTTGGGGCTTTACGGTTTAAAGTTGAGGGTGTAGCGTTGGGAGTTGTGGAAAGTTTTGCAGCTTGCATTCTGGAAAGCAGGGCCTACTTTCTGAAACCTTTACCTGTGCAGCCCTTACCAACCCTCGCGGCTTAAGCCCGCGTGAGCTCGACCTGACTTCAACACGGCTTACAGGTTGACTCTCTGAGTCTTGGGCCTGAGGGCTGGGGTGTATTCAGGAGTTTAGGGTTCGGCTGTGGCTGACCCTGACATCGCGATCAAATCCAGCCAGAAATCTGGGTAGGTTTCGCAACACCAACCCTCAACCTTGGGCCCAGAACCCAAAGCCTTGCTCAGCTCAAGACCATCGAAACCAGCAGATGTAGAATAACACTGTTCGTCTCAGGCACTTCTGCATCAAAGCACGAAAATGACGCGCTGATGCCACACGCTGGGGAACCACAGCATCCCCTGAAGGTGCTTGAACGACGAAAATGAAGCTTTTGAACCTTAGGGGTCCTCAACTTCATTTGGCGGGCTGTATGTGCGTCCGCTAGGCGGTTTTGTGGTTGCTGTTTAGCATGCTCTGCTCTAGTAAGACGTGGCTGGGAGTTGATGAAGAACGAGATGCTTCCTGAAGATTCCTGGGCGATGTTCAGAACCAGACCGGCACAGCTGATGTGGGGATGTGGCGCAAGGTACTGCGCAACATGAATGCTGGTCTGCCTTGCGCCGATGTCTCACCTCGTCTAGATCGCTTCAAGCCGTTCACTCTTTCTAGTCCCTCTTATGGGTTTCCCGCGCGTTCTCAACTTCTCTAGTGTTCGCACGGATAAGCACCCTCTGCGAACGTTTTACCACCCTCTGGATTTTCTCAGTTCGGTGCGACAGGTGTTGCACCTCTATCTATCCATCTTTCTATCGATGTACCCGCCTGGACCTCCCTGGCTATCTATCTATCTATCTCTCTCACTCTCTTCCCGCCTCTGTCTCTCAATCTTTCTCAGCTTCGCTCCCCGCACCCAACTTCGCCACTCTCTTTGGAGCCCCCGGTCTTGAAGTTCAAGCCCCAAGCCCAAATGGGAATTTCCGAAAATGCGGGACTCTGGTCAGTAGGGTCCTGCTAAAACGGACCTCGACCTCGAAATAAGGTTGCCCGAGTCTTCTGCAGACCGGTAAAGCCTCTCATAACCCAAGTAGAACCCAGTTCAAGACCCCTAAATTTACTCGAATCCCTCTCTGAAGCTCTCAGCCCGAAAAACTCAACCGGGGCCTGGCGTGCGAGCATCTTCCATCTGCTGGAAAGAGGCGGACGTCATGGCCGCCATGGTGACAGCCAAGCTTTACAGGCAGAGGCCCGTTTCCAGAGTCTTGTCAACGCTGCTGCTGCTGCTGCTGCTGCTGCTGCTGCTGCTGCTGCTGCTGCTGGGGCTAGGCTGTTGTGTTACTGGGTAGTGGAAGCCAAAGCCTCCGAGCTGTCGAGTGCAGTCGCAGCTGGACTCATGTCAGACGGGGGTGAGGAATTGCTCTTAAATTTTCGCGAGAGCATGTATAGAGTCCAAGAAGCCGTCGCAACGCGACCGGAGGGTTTTGGGTTCTTCTTTGGCAAGCTTGAGGTTCGGGGTTGGCACATACTCCACGACTCCAGGGCACCTCATGTAGCACCTGGAGAAGCAAAACGCTGCACCGAGCAATATCCATGAAAGCGCACAGTGAAGGCTCTAGAGACCGACACTAGGCCTGCAAAACTAATCGTGGTTCCCATGCTTGCAGTATTCCAACAACGACTACGTGCAGCAGCTACCCTGCCGCCGGTGCCATGCTAAGAACTGAAGTAGACGCCACGGGATTGCGGTCAGGGGTCGCGGGTACACTGCAGCGCAACCCCCTCTGCCAATCGTAATAGCCTCAACGCCTGCAATCCCAAACCGAAATCTCGAATCAACTAACTCCAAACCCTCAACCCGTAACTCCAAAAAACTGCGCCCGTCAAACTCGAGTTCGGTCGGTTCAGTTTGGCGGTGCTCTGCATCAAGTTGCTCGCAACGACGACGACGACGACGACAGTTGAGGAAACGAGTCCCTGATCTGTGGATGGATTGATGGGTCGCTTGTAATCCTGCGTTGAGCTTCCAGGCTTCGCCAGGCAATGCTGCGCAAAGGTACTATGAGGGTGTCTGAAACGCTTCAGAACTTCAGAAGGGGTACTTTGGGGCTGCGTCAGTTAGCGTGCCTGTGGAGGTCATCTTCTGCTCTAAGCCCTCAACTCTGAATCCCAACCATCCCTCGAGCTTAACCCTCGAAGCCCAACCCTGGTCTTGGAGGCTGAGGGCTTGAGGTTAGAAAGCCCAGCAGAGTTGCTAAGACCCCTTTGGCATTTGCACTTCCTTCAAGCCCTAAAGTCCTATCCTGTCACCCCAAACCCCCCGAGAAAAACCTCGGGGAGGATTGCAAGACCTGGCTCGGTATCGAAGCGCCAGCCGTAGAAGCGGTCCACAACGCGTGGGTCCCTTCGCTCCCTGGCAGCGAGGGACGAGGGTCAATGAGTATCAAGGGTTTCAGGGGATTTGTCACTCCTACAATCTCTTACAGTTCTTGTTCGCAAGGTAGCAAAGCAGCAACTGTTACAGGGGCCCCTCCAAATATAAAGGCTTCTTGGTCTGGTCTTGAAACCCCCGCCCGACTCTAAGGTGTCTTGGGGTTTCCAACTGTTGGGGTGCGCGACTCTTCACCACAGCACGGTGCATAATTTGAGTTTGACTCCTCTCCAGCTCCAAACATCGTGGTCGGAGCCTTAGGGGTCCTCCTGGAATGGTTTGCATGCAAAAGAGGGTTGGGACTTAGGTCTCTAAGCCCATTCAAAAAGTCTCTTCTGGGGCGCTTGCTGGGGCGCGGCACGCGCCAGTCGTCCCAGGAGTTTGGCCTCTGCCTTCACACGAAAAGGCTCAGGAGCTTTGGTCTTAGGGCAAAGTCTGAGAGTCCAAGATTTCTGGCTTGTCACCACAGAAATACATGCACCGATTGGTTTGGGCGGGTTGACGTGAAGGCTCTCCGACACCCAAAGCCATGTACCCTGTGCGACACTATTGCCCTGCACCAACACATCTCAACCTGAGACATCAGAACCAGAAAAGCATTTGACCCGGAGGACAGAAACACAAAATTCCAAAGCCCTTCGTAATCCCCAGAGCCCTAACCCGAAACGCCAAATCAGCCGTTTCTGTGCCTCATCCCCCCTGGCTTGGTGCCAATGGGCGAGATCCAACATCACCTCATGCAAGCCCATTATTGCTTGGGTCAACATGAGTGCGATGTAGCTCCTGCAATCACCTCTCGTTAGATCCCCGCCAAGTCATGAACGCATCTAGTATCTT